GATGGATGGATGGATGTATTTAATTATATCCACAAATTATAAAGTTCAGAATTCTAAACTTTAAATTACCCTACATATTTATGGTGCTGGCCGTGTGAGGCTTGCTAGCCAGCATATCATTTTCTTACATAGCTAAACAATGAAAATAACCAATGAAAATAACTGCTAATTCTAGAGGTGTATAGTAACTAAATAAATTTACTTCATTACAGTACTTACTGTAAGTAATTTATTGGAGGATTTGTTTTATTATATTCAACACTTCATTTCTTAGAGTGTGTATATAACTACTTTAACTTTCCCTATTTGTGAGCAGTTTTATGACTTACTTAAGTACTTTTTTTATCAGTGAAATTTTCAGTCATTTTCTGTTAAAGTATTTTTACTTTTACTTCGTTATTTCTTTCAATTATTTTATATACCTCTGGCTATTTGCAACCTTACTAAAAATAAACACATCTTTGAGTAAAAACTACTAAACAAATTGATGATAGTCATCAATAATTAAAATTATCCCTTATATTTGTGTGAATTTCACTGAAACAAATAAATCACTCACTTATTAGGAGGATTTGCACGAGAAGCGTTTAACAGGCACTGACAGAAATTTTGCAGAATCATGTTGACAACCTGAAAACACGACAGAGGGATTAATATAAATAACAGTTCATTATTTGAAGGATAAACAGATGAAAAACATACTTTTACATGAAGCTCAGACAACGCGGGAGACTCCGTGTGCAGCGTGACGACTCTTCGTCCAGTCGGCTCATCGGGACAACCCGTGAAGACGACGCTCAGCGTGTGAGAGATCCTGGACAGATGGGCCGACATCTCTGCACAGAAACAGGGTCAACGTATTGTTTACTCCTTTTATATCTGCTTTACACTGGGAACATCTGATGTCTGCACACCTCTGTCACTTCCAGCGTCGAGCAGCTCCGTGAACTCCTGCAGCTGAGCCTTCAGGACATCCAGGAGATCATCGCTGGCGTCCAGACGTGCAGCGATCTCTGAAAACATCACCGTAAATAAATCATCTGGTGTTTTTAACTGTATGAGCTGCAGGAGCACAGATATGTACAAATATATGAACTGTGAGAGAAGTACTAAAACACAACTCAAAGATAAAATAATTGCAAATAAGCTCAAAAATTTCCTCCTTTCCTAACTTTTTAAAAACGTGACAGACAGCAAATTCAAATTTAGCAACATTTTAAAAAGAATTATTAAACATATCAGTTTGTGAAACATCTAAACTTATTATGTCAATAATTGGCAGATTATATAATGTAATAAATTACAAAATTTAAACCTTTGATTAAAAAAAAGAAGGCGGCATTCTTCTTGAAATTTACATTGCACTTCCATGGAATCTGCATTTATAATATTTTATATGTTCTGTTTAACTCTAAATTAACAAAAAAGGCCAATATAAAACAAATCTGTAGTTGGTTAAGAGAATAAATTACATTTATAAACAGATTTAAAAGAGCTCACATCACGTTTGTTTCTACATCGGCTTCAGGCGTATTTTAGAATTAATTTTAAGGTTCTTTTATTTTTCTGTGAGGAACTTTGTGTTACACTCCCGTGTATRAAAGGTGTTTTATAAATCAAGTTTGAAACATTAAAAACATGTCAAGAAATACTCACTATTTTGCTGCCTTTGTTTCTGGCAGGACTCCACATACGATGAATATTGTGCAGCAGGGATCTTGTCTGCTCTGCATTAAAAAATATGCCTTCATGTCAAAAATGCATAAATAATTACAGGAAATAATGCTGTTTTATAAATTTTACAACCATAGAAACTTGAATCTACTAAAACTGCTGTGGAAAATGTGATGACATGCCTACATTTCTGCTCAYGACTCACTTTTTCAGGGCTTCTATAAAAATCATCTGAGCATCAGGCCTCACTGGAAGCTGCAAACAGACGGAAAGAGTAACATTTATTTCTGTGATACAAACAAAAAAAYGACTTTATATCTAGAAATAACCAAAAAGAAAAAAAAAACATAATAGAATTGAAGTCGCTCACCGCTCTCGGCTTCAGCAGAGCGGGAAGAAACCGTGTAAAAAAATAAGGCCTCCGGAAAATACTGTGAATATAACAACGTGATTTTAAATCCACACTTTAAGAAATGTAAATACTGCAGAGCTGAGGGGATTTATGTTCTTTGTATTTAAGAATTAACTTTTCCTAAAATTTGGTTTAAAAATCCCAAAGTTTCTACCTGGCCTCCATGACGGTGGCAGAGATCCTGCCGGTGCTCTCGAACAGAGACACGGCCTTCTCCACGTCCTGCGCAGCCTGGCACTGAGGCTGCAGAAACACAGACGTTACAGCATCGTTCAGCTGTTCAAGTTTTTTCATATTTTTTGTGTTGAACCCTTTGTTTCTTCTAGTTATAAGTAAACACAAATATTAATTATTGATTGCAGTCTGACCACCAGGTGTCACTGTTACCTGCACCGATGCACCAGAAACATCCTCGTACAGACCCATCTCCTCCACTGACTCCTGACATAAACACACCATTCACTGGTTAAAAGCCATTATAAATCATATTCAGTCGTTTAATTTGTCCTTTTTTTTACCTTGAGGTCAGCCAGTCTGGTTTTAGCCAGAGAGACGTATTCCATGAGCAGGCTGCGGTGCTTTGCAGGAACATACGGAGGATGCAGGATGTGAATCTGAAACATAAAATAAAAGATTTAAAAATTATGATTACATCTCAACTCAACTGAAAATATAATCTTTTAGACAAACTGGGTGTTTTTTTTAATATAATCAAAGTCAGGAACGACACACAAATTTATAAACAACTCATTGGCAATAATTAAAAACATCTGTTTTCATACTCAAAATGCCAAACCAGAGACACAAACTGAAAAATAACAATCAGCTAAAAGTCGTACATATGAAGCAAAGGTTGCCACTTTTTTTAATCATCTGTGTTGCCTTAGAAAAAAATAGAGATTTTAAACAAATGAGTTTCAAAGAGTAACAAACTAATACATTAAGAACAAAATAAATCTATGGTTTCATTTTATGACAAATATAAAGTTTCTAAAAATATGTTTTGAAAGCTGTATGACTAAAGAATCATAAATAATTTTAAATAATAAGAGGCTTTAAATCTGAGATCTTGTGGGTCTGTTTGACCCAGGAGTGTTAAATATTTAACAGAAAATCTGCTGAAACTTGAAGACAGAACAGAAACACCTGAATCAAACATTGAAGCTACTTAAGTAAATACTGCATGTGTTTTTTTTATTCAGCTATTCAAATAAATCATTTAAATACAGTTTGAGATTCAGAAACAAATGTTCTCACCTTGAGGTACTGTGGAGGATCGAAAGGAACCAGGTCGGAGAGAAACTTGAGCAGGAACACCAGAGACTTCTTGCTGTTGGCCTGGTAGCTGCTGCCGCCACCAAAAGACATCTTGAAGGTGAAAAATATATTTAAAAAATTCATGTTTTATATAAACTTTGAGACAAAAAAAATTCAACCTAAACATGAAAATATGTATGTACTCTTAGACCACTAACAGTAAGAATACCTCACTTTTAGAAATCAGTTTATTTAAACATATAAAACATGATTTTTACTCATTTAAATCTATGTTRCTTCATGTTTTACATTGTTATAAATACAGAACAATAAATAAGTGGMACATTACTTAAACAAGGTCTTTAATTGTTCTTTGTTCACTTCTGAAACAGACGGCGAAAGCACACTGAGTTTATTCATCTTTAAATAAATCAAATCTATTAGTTGGTGTGAAACCTTGAACCAGTCGCTGTAGGAGGGGCAGATCCTGGGACCCTCCAGCGCCCCCTGTCGAGCCAACAGGAAGGCGGTTATCATGTTCTCCAGGTCGTAGCCTTCAAACGCCGAGCTCAGCAACCTGGACAACAACTCTGAGACGAACAAACACATCGTGGACTTAGATGTGTCCCCTCGTATTTACATCTCACTCTTACTTTGAGGCGATCAGCGTCTCTTTGTGTTTACCCCGGAGGCTGGACTGAGCAGACTGGTTGTAAACCAGTAGAGTGGAGACGAAGCAGAGGACGTGCTTCCAGTTGACTTCGTGGGTTTCTAAAACCTGCTGTAAGTGACGCAGCAGCTGCTCCGCGCTGAACACCACAGCCAGCTTTTACAGAAAGAACAAGAGCAAATTTCTTTTAGCCACACACTCCAAAACACAGAAACCTGAAGTCTTATTTTGTATGTACATTTGTAACAATACCAAATCTGACATAATTAGAAATAAAAGCAGAAATATATAAATGGACCAATACAGCGGGTAAAATAAGTATTGAACACGTCAACATTTTTCTCAGTAAATATATTACTAGAGGTGCTAATG